GGATTCTCGGGCTTATTAAGCTTCATTAGGTTTTAATCAATTTGGTGGGGGAGTGTGAGAAATACGAGCTGCTCATTTGGGCCCCAATGTTATGTTTACATAGGAAATACATTTGTTACCTAGGTGGTCCCTTAACCCTTTCGCCTTTCCCCTTTCGCCTTTCGCCTCGTTCCCAGACCCATGTAGCAACCGAGAAATTTCAACTAATTAAAATACCTATAAAACTCTGCATGTTGAGTCCTGTTTTGCGGCAGCATTTCCAGCATTTCGTTGGAAATTTTCAAACAGAATCGTCGGGATAAGCAACACGCCAACCCAACAAATGACCAGCCGAAGCCGAAGACTGAAGACGGAAAACCGAAAATCGAAAACCTAAAACGAGGCCCTTCGAACCGGCCAAAGATGAATGGTTGGACCTCGGCAGGGTTGCCCAAAACCCCCCTGCCTCCAAACCCTTGATCCCCATCCGCCACCAACAAACTGACAGCAAACAGAAATCGACAGCCGTGCGGTGTTTACTACTCCAACAAGATCCCAAAAAAAAGAGAAGTTAAAAACACAAAATAAAAACAAAAACCGGACAGAAAAAAAAAAACGAAATTCACTTCTGATCGCATTGGGAATGGAAGCTGGCCATCAGCCGGAGTTCCACTCAGTCCCAGTCGAAATGGACAGCTGAAAAGGAGGCTGGAATTTCGGCCCGGCTCGCAGAGAGCTTAAAACTTTTAGCATTTTTAATTAGCGCGTTCTTTGTTTTCGTTACGTTTCGTTCGTTCGTGCCGGCCATCGAACAAAATGAGAACAGATTCGAACAAAACGAATTTTATTTTCGGGCCCTGCATGCTAATTCGCTGCCAGGAGGCGGGCAAACCAGAGTTGCCTCCTAGGACGACCAGAGGCGTTACCTCCAGAAGGAGCTGTAAAATAAATCACTTTGAGGTCATAATATAAACGAAACAATTAGAAAAGTTCGCTCTAAGAAACTCAGAACATCGTTATTGTCTTACACATGATCTTATTGCAATGCATTTACAGTGGGCCAAAAAAGTTTACGAACATTTTATGTAAAATTTGAGGAAAGTGTACTTCAACTTCTTTTACCCCCTGTATATAAACCTAGTAAATATTGGAACTATTTTTAATGCATATTTTAAAAAATGTTACGAAAATAACAATTGTAGAATCTTAATAAATATTTTGTTCAGATATCCACCCTACTGTTCAATTTTCTATGAACGTATTTATTTTCAACATACATTTTGTTGCCCAATTTCCTTTTTGAATTTTTGACTACACCCATGCTTGGCACATTTATCAGTGTCCAGATGGTGAAACAAAAATTGACCTTGAGAAGAGCTAGCCTCGAGTAATTAGCTAGTCTTTCGCACCAAATGTATTTCACCATTTTTTGAAATTCTCGTTCAAAACGGTTGAAGGAAAATTCTTAAAACTTGTCCAGCGGAGCCTTACTTATCTCTTTCATTGCTGGCACTTTAATAACCGTTCCTTCACAGATACTTGAATAGACGCTTAAATTGTCTCTGGGGTCCGGATCCCCAGCCTCCGGTCTCTGGCCGCAATCTACGGAGGTCTGTCGCCGCTAAGCCAATGTAGTAAATGCCAGCCGAGGATTTATAGCAAAGTACCTTGACCAATTACGCAGGCATGCCTCCGATCCTTCTATCCCCCCAGCTCCAACTCCAACTTGAACCGTTTGACAACGCATCGCGGAGCGAGGACAAACATAAATATCAATTACGGGTCCATAAATTTGAAACCAATTAGCCAGGCGAAATTGATAACAGTCGTTTGGCTCAAACGCAGCAATTTTCCCCGGATCCGAGCAGCGATTTGCAGTTTGCCGTCGTCGTTTGACTGCGAAAATAGTTTTCCCCATCCGCGTTGACGAGTCGGCGGCAGTGGCGAACGGATGGCGAGGATGCAAACAACTTAATACAAATTGAAGGCTCAAAAGCCAAATGTTTAGTTCTCACATTAAATGTAAACGGCAGCGCTCGAAGATTGGGGCGAGACAATCTGCCACGGCAACCCCGAGATTTGCAAGAGACAGAGGAAAAGGCAAGAATGAGGTGCAAAGATGGCTCGCCAAGAGCCACAGCCACAGCCACAGCCACTGCCACAGCCACATACAAATCCACATGGCCAAGACAGCGGCAGCGAGCACTACTTAACTTTTCGACACCCAATGAAATTTTCGCACATTACTGCCAAAAGTATCTAGATGCAAAAATATCTGGCGAGTCGTCGTCTGTGCAGTTGCATGCAACCCAACTCGCCGAAGACTCCATGCCAACCTCATATCTGCATCTTCGCTGGTAGGCAAATGCAATTTATTATACGTCTGGGACCCGGCCAGCAGCCAGGAAAGATCACCAGATGAGATGGGTTAAGACGCAGGAGGGGACGAGGGGCAGGGACTTTGCCTCCACACACGCAAACCTTTGGCGTTTTTCTTATTAATACATTTTTAGCCCGTTTGGCCCGTACAGTGGTGCTGATGGCGGTGGTGGTGGAGGAGGACGAACTGAAATCAGATAAAAAATGCTTCGCACACGATTAGGAATTTTTAATTAAAATATTTTGTACTGCTGTTTGTAGTTAATTTCGTACAAGACTCTCTCTGAGGCATACAAAGTGCCCAAAGGAGCAGCGGAGGTTCGCCCAAACGGAGGCCATAAGCACCTGCATTTCATTGCTGCAGTGCGGCTTACCTGTGGCCGTTCTTACATTTGTTGTTGTTGTTGTTGTTGTTGTTGTTGTTGTTGTTGCTGTTGCTGTTGCTGTTGTATGCGTGTAGAACAGCACAAAGTACGCGATCCGATTGCCACAGTCAGAGTTGCAGTCCAAGTTGGGTTTCGATGGGCAGAAAAGAAGGGGGGGATCAAGGGTTGGGGGGCCTGAGGACAGCAAAGGGTGCCGAGCTGGCATAAAAATCCTTGTGTTTCCTTTTCGCTTTCGTGCCCAGTTCGCGGACTTGGCGCAACATTTCAACCTGCCACTGCGGTGGCAGCATTGATGGGCGTATACATGCGATTCACTCCCTTCCCCGCCCCTCATCCCCCAGCGAGTGCTCCTTCTGGGGCTGCGGTTGCCGTTGCTGCATCGTTTAGCTTAACTCAACATATTTTTAAAGCCGCAATCTCGGCGAGAAGCGCGGGCGGCAGCGGGATGGAGTGCGGGCGCATCGATGATATATTTAGTGGCAGGCAAAACGAAAGACTTAGGCAACGAACTCGCGATTACGACACAGCATGAGGCATTGCTTATATAGCTGGTGCATCGCCAGTCACACACATACAGTATATACTGGGCGATTTTGGGTTTTAAGTTTAATTACTATTTTGTTAAGTAATTTAAGAAATTTAAATTAAATAATTTAAATGGAATAATTAATTACTCCAAGTAAATTCATTTTTTTAAAACAAATAAATAATAATTAAAATTCGATAAATATTATTTAGAATTTTATTTTAATATTAAATTATAATTTTTGTAAATTAAATAAGTATTTAAGCTTAAAACAATATTTTTATTTAAGTATAAGTTGTTTATTGTTTTCTCGTGCAGTTAAATGTGCTCTAATTTATTTTGGAATATAATATTTGTGAGTTAAATAAGTATTTAATTAAAAAACAATATTTTTATTTAAGTTTAAGGTGTTTATTGTTTTTAAAATGTGTTTGATCTTATGTAGTAATTTGCGGTTTCATTTTTTTGAATATGCCAACCTGTAACAGTGTCCACTGTGGCTATATGCCAATTGGCGCTGCCCTGCACGATTTTTTTTCAGCAGCTCTTCTCGTCCTCATTGCATTTGGTCTCGGCGATACACTGTGTTTTCTTCCTCTCCTTTCTTTCGGTGTTTCATTTTTTGCTGCCTTATTTCTTATATTTTGCTCCGCGCAAATTGAAGATCGTGTTAAACGCTTAAGTTGTTTCTGCAGCCCAAGAGGGCCAACAGAGAGAGGGCCAAGCGAGGGGGGGGCCAACACATGCAAGCCACAATGCATCATTAGCGTTGTGGCAAATGTGTTTTTGCCACACAGACGCGAGGACAGACCGAGATCGTTTTGTATCTTCAGAAAGAGGAGACGATGCAACAAGTGCAAGAGCCCAGTTCATTGCCTTCCGTCCACTGATTATGGCTGAGCCGTAAATTATGACTAATTGATTAACAAATTCTTCAAACAGAGGACCAGGCAAATGGCCAACACGCACATGCCGCATAAATCAGAATCTGCATTCGAACTTTTCACTTGTCAACGCCGTTCTTTTGTGACTCGCTTGTAATGAATCTCCGCATCTGACGCATCACGTGCCCAGCATCCACAAGCTAACAAGCCAGAGATTTAAATCCTCACCTTGGCTCGGCTGGCTTTTGTTTGCATCGGACTTTGGTTTTAGGTCTTAGGTTTTCCTTCGCCTGTTTACACAACAAACACTTGGCGGCAATTGTCGGTGTTTAAAATGCAAAATGTGTCAAATGCGTTTCTCTTTTTCGTGTGTCCACCAAATGGAAGAAAAATGAGCCTCAAATGAAGGGGTAAATAAAATGTAAAATGTATTTACCTTTTGCGTGGCCTGAAACAAGCCAAAGCACGCACAGATTTTGTAAATGAAGGCAGGAAAAAACCAAAAAACAACAGCTAAATTTAACATAAACGGGGGCGTTTTTTGGGCGGATCGGGAGCGGACTGAGGAGAGACTAATACGGGGGCGATCAGAGCAACATTCCACACTCGAATCGTGTCGTGAAATATTATATTTATTTGCTTAGGCCATGCGAAAATGAAGAGCTCGACGGAGTAGTGAGTAATCTCTGGGTTGGCAAGTGATTGATTATGCTAATTTGGGATTAAAGCCCATTCGCCGATCAATTGTTTGTCTTAATTTATCAGCTTTCTAACAAATGTTTTTAGAAGGCAGTCCAAAAAATGAATGTGTAAACAAAAATATATCAATAGGCAAACATAAATTGGAACTTTCAATCAAAGAGAAAACTGTTAAAGAATAAAAAGTATAATGTTTCCATAACTCACCTCAAAGTTGACCTTCTGAGCGCTGAATTTATTGACATCCCTTACCAAACATCAGGGGAATGTAATAAATTTCCATTACTCGGCTCCGTTTCTTCTCACCTTGAGCTGCCATTCTGGACAAGTCTTTTGGCCAGCTTTTAGTGCACTGGGTAATTCGGAGTGACTACGCCTCGCAGGCCACTTCAAGATTACCATAAGGCTTATAAATAAATAAAGCCCACTACAACCGGCCACGAAAAAACGGAAACTTGTTCTGGCCTAAAGCACTTACAACGTTTCGTTTTTTTTTTTTGTTTTTCGAACATTTTGAAAACATTTCGAGTCGCGGCATGTACGCGACGAATAAAACAAACTGGAGCAGCGCATTTAACGAGTGAGCCACAAAAAGCGAAACATTTGAAAGCCTCGGTTCGTGCATTATATTAATTTGAATTTTAATTGCAAATTGCAGGCGGCAACGAGTGTGGCAACGAGTTAAGGCTTCGCAATGGGAATGGCAGTAATACTGGTAATGATTAAAAATGCAAGGCAAATACACTTCATTATGGGCCCATTTTCCGCAGACATGTCAGTCGAAGTCGCCGCCGGAGAACGGCCACATAATTCACTCACCCAACGGAGGATGCATGCAAAGCAGGAGCAGATTACAAGTGCAACGCATTCCCAGGTTGCCCTACCGATTTCATCAAAATGATAAAGAAGCCGAAGCCGGCTTGACGGACTGCCTGACTGAATGGCTGACTGGATGACAGAGCCTACTGTTTGCTCTTTTGGCCACAAGAACGAATGAACGAAGAACAACCAAACAGCCAGCGGCAACAATCGAAAACATTTAAGCACTTTGTGCTATGCTCCACTTGAGTCGCGTTGCGTTTCACATTCGAGTGCAAAATCAACACACAAACCCAACATTACTCAAGGTGCAGGCAAAAATAAAAATGAAACGAAAAACGAAAAACGAAAAGGAAAAAAACCAGAGGAAAAACACGAACAGTCGGCAGAGATTTAAATGCCTATCGCGAAGACACATCGACAAACCGCATCTGCATGGGCAGGGTCCACTTTTGGAGTCCAGATGCAGGAGATGAAGGAGATGCAGATCCACATCCACTTGCGGGGCCGGTGGCACTTGTATTGATCTAATCTAACCACGTCGGCGTATGTACGCCTGTCTCCCGCGGTGGTCTCCTTAATGAGTGGGCTGCCATGGGTTAAGAAAGGAGTTGCCCAAGATGAGAATCTGCCCACGCAGCCGTTTATTGAGAAATTACCAAGTACAAAACGAGGTGTCAGTCATTTTGATTCTTTCAATTCCAATCTCCAAATCGGTGCATAGCTCTGACCAAGTTTGTGGCCTCAGTCTTTTGTTTGGCCTCAGCATATTTATGATGACAAATATGGTTTTTCCTTCGGAATGGGTATGGGTATGGGCATCGGTATGGGGGAAAAGCAGAGACCAATCGACACCTTTGGCAAACAATGCCTTAATGAAGTGCGTACCTGCCACAGAAAAGCCAAAGAGCTAAGAGCCCCGAGTTCTCTGGCCGGCAAATGGAGTGTGTAAATTGTATGGTAAAATAAATACATAAAAGAGCTCAAATCCCGATTTATGCTGGCTTAAACGAGCCAACGTTCTATAACTCAAATTAAAAGCAATTTAAAATCCAAATAGAAAGGAACACCAATATCCAAAAAGCAAAGCAAAGAACCGAAAATGAACATTCCACGCAAACGGGCCCAAGTCGATGTCGATTCAAGCCCAAGCCTGGCCAACAACAGCATTCAGATCAGTTTGCTCCAAATTAAAAAAGTATAAAACCATAAAGACGACAATAATGACAGCCCGTTGATGGTGACAACGACCATGATGACGATGATGAGGCTCTGGCGGTCGGGGGAATGGTCTCTGGCGGCCGATCGAGAATGAGACTCCGGCTGGAGGGGATTGGAATTGCTGTCTCCAGAGTGACACAGGCAAATGTCTTCTTTGTGCTGGCTTAAACGAAGACGAGGGCGGATGCAAGAGTTTCATTTTGGGGTAAGAATGAGGAAATATGTAGTACTGAAACAAAAATATCATCGAAAATGAGAGAGTTCTATTTTGAAAAAAAAAATGTTAAATAACCAATAATATTAAAGTTATTAAACAAAGGGAAACATTTATAAGTGTACATTTTTGGGCTGTTATTATCTTCCGTATAAAACGAAATGTGATTTAGAAAATATGAAGGTATAAGTGAATATGGAGTATAGAATTATTGCGCAAATAATTTTCGATTATAAGAACTGCAACATTTAAGACAATTTATCATAATATTATGTAATTAATAAAATTTATCTTTAAAGTATAACTTTTTTAACATATGTTGAATTTAAGTTGACTAAGAAAGCATTCTGTGTGATAAGAAATTTAATTTAAATATAAACCAACAAATAAAACTGCTAAAAAATGTGTAATTAGAGTATTTGCAAAATAAATTTCATTGAAATACCAAGCCATATAAATGAAACTAAATTAAAAGAATTAATATTCTTTATTTTTATAAACTTCTTTGATAAACTATATTTCTGAAGCCCTCCTCGTTATATTGCCTGGTCGCATGGCCGCTTATTTTTTTCTTGGCCGGCTGAACCTAATAATCCTCATGACTCGCATATCAAATGACAACAAATTTACTGCGGACGTCGTCGTCGGCAGAGACGCTGGCCGCAGTGTCAAATTGAGCGACAATGGGCGATGGACAAAAAAAAAGCGGGCCACAGTGGGACAGTGGCAACTGTAACGTTTTGTTGTCTTTCATATCGTGGCCCTCTTTTGTCCCCCTGTGTTCTCCGCATTTCCTCCAGCGGATCTGTCCCCGAGAATCCCACTCTCCATTCGTGTGTGAGTGTGCTGTGCATTTGCCGCTTTAATACCTTTTAACACTAATCGCATCGAGCGAAGCGCAATCAGTTGTGATGAGAATATAAATAAAAACAGAGAAAAAAAACACTAAACAAAAAGCCAACGAAGGGTCTGAGATTCTGGCCATATACACTCACATATATTATCGTTTGGTATATGAAGCGTCGTCGCCCTAGACGCTGAACAAGAAATAAAAATCGTTCAAGTTCTTGGACCCCGCGATGAAGATTTTCTCACGTGTTGTTTGCATTGGTTTATTTTTCGATTTTTGGTTTTTCGGTTTTTTGGTTTTTTGGTTTTTTAGTTTTTCGATTTTCGGCTGCAGAGTGTGAGTTTTGAAACTGGAGCTCTGCTCATCATCATGAGATGGAGATTTTTGGATTCCCTTCTTCTTTTTTTTATGAACGCAGTGAATTTTTATGTTTCGATGATGAACTGTGCACACGACCCGAGGAAGCCACCAATCCGGGGACTTTGGGCGGCAACATGACTCAGTCAGAGAGTCCGACTTTTGGCCAAGGTCTTCTCGATGTGCTTCCCAGGTGCTTCGAAATCATCGAACAGGAAATTGCTACAAATTCTTGATGAGATTTACCATGTGTGTTTAGGGGCCCTAATGATTTCTATTTCATTTCGTTTCCCTGCCCTGGCTGTCTGCATCTATATCTATATCTTCTTCTGCCTCAGTAACTTTGCACAGTACGTGGCCGAAGGGGCCGAAAGGCTACAAGTTCATCCCGAGATCTGTGGCTTAGCTTAGCTCAGGATCGTTCTGTTCTGTTCTGGATTCCCATCCAGCACATGCGAAATCAGTAGATCACGAAATGAATAGCCATAAATACAATGGCGGGAAAAGCAAGGAGCAGCCACCAGAAACACCAGAAAAGCTGACTGGCCAAGAGTCGAACGGACGGACAAACGGACAGACAGACGGACAGACAGATAGGCATGTAGACATATAGACATATGGGTAACGTTTCGCCATTTAGCTCGATTGCAGTTGCAAACATGCGATTTTGAAGAGGTTCGAATTGGCCAAAAGCGACTCCAGATAGCAACCGACTAGTCTGCGTGCCAAAGTCGTCCTCTTGTGGCTCGTTGTGTGGATTTGGACACACTCGGAGGAAAAGCAAAAAGCTCTACCTAGGCAGAGTTTGAAGAAAAAAAGAAAATAATGCAGGTTATATCTATTATTTTTAATAAAATATTACCATTTCCTTGCCTATTTGTATTGAAATTACTCCCATAATTTAAATATTTTAAGTATATAATTATAAAAATCGTTAATAACTTAAAGCGAATTAACACGAGATGTCAAAATCTTATTGAATGATTTTAAAATAGTTAAGTCCGTTTGATTATTTTCACTGTAAGGAAACAAGGAAATGTACATTTTTGTTTTTCCAAGCAAGTGTAATTTATTTAGGGAATCACACTGCCACCTTAAACTTTTCCAAATGTCTTTGGAATGTTATTTTTATTCCGTCCAAAACTGTACCAATATTTTTCTTGTGTGTAGGATATCCGAGCATCAAATTCCAGTGCTTGGGAATGGAATTTCGAAATTGTGGCAGCCACAGCGGCAGATTCTATGTAAATATAGCTTTGCTATGATCGAAACTAACCAACTTTGTCTACCAACCAGACATTGGCGGTTGTGGGGCAGCCAAGTGCCCCTTTTTTATTGGCTCCGAACGGAATAAGTTCGTTTCAGGGGCCATAAAACGTCAATTGCCGGAGCTGAAGCTACCATCGTTTACGGCCGAACCGCAATTCTGCAATTCCGCAACTCTCGACTCCTGCAGTCATGACAACACCCGCTGCTTCTACAGGGGAAGCCGAGGCAGTAAAAACGTTGGGAATTAATTAATCTTCGCATGCAACTAAATTAACGCATGATTGCTGGCCCAGCAGCAGCTCCAATCCGAGCCAAGTTCGAGGAGCCTGAGTTCGAGGATTTATTGCATTTATCGGCCAATCGAATTGCGTTTGCAGCTTAAGATTTATACATTTTACTCGGATGGCTGCTCGTTTATTTACTTATTTTTTTTTGTTCTTTTTTTCGAGGATACCCAATGCGGAAGTGGCGGATGGATGCGATCGTTTGGTTACTTCTAATTAAACGTCGCGTAGCCTCAATTTATTTGACTCGATTTGTTCGGTTGACATTAATGAACACGGCGTTGACATGCTCTCGCTGCCACGACATAAAGAGTTAAAAAAGAGAGAAAAAAAAAAAACAAAAAACAAAAATCGGGGACCCGAGGAAAGCGATGACACCTCCTTGTGACCACAGGCACATCGCGATGTCTGCCAGTGGAAATCATCAATTAAATTAGTCGGAGCTAAAGCCAAAGTTGTTTGCAGAACATTTGCAGACCCAGCTGCAAACTGCTTTTCGAGATTTGCCATTTCGCGGTTTGTCTCGCCAGCTCTTAGCTGTTTGCATTTTGCATTTTGCCTGGCCCTGATCCGTTGGCTTCATTTGCATTTGGCCAAAAGACAAGAGACAAGAGACGATTCCGCTGCTGCCGTTTCTGTGGCTCATTTAAGTGTTAAAAATGGCAGTTACATGAAACCGAGCTGGCAAAATGTTCCGTTTACGTTTACGTTTACGTTTGTTTCGTGCCCATGGCTCTCAGTGCTTTATGTGTTTTCCGGCTGGCCGTGTTCGTTGCCTGAGTCTTTTGTTTTAAATATTAAACGGGCCCTACAAATCGCTGCCAGCAGCTGCCGCTTCAGTGGCCAACTGCACAAAATTTGTCATTTTTCCCGCGGTTTGGCGGCTCATTAGTCAGGCCGCACATTTTCGTGGAAGGCGCAGACGCAGACGAAGACTCAGACTCAGACTCAGACAGAAAGCTGCCAGGCGATGACAAGCCAGATTAGAGACCCCTAAAACGACACTGTCCCTGCTCCAGACCCCGTCCCCCCTTTCCCCAGAACACCAAATCCATGTCCCTTGAAACAGAATCGAGTCACAGGCGACCCAAATGTTTATTTGCTTTGCAGCGGCAAGGGCTTGACACTTTCTGTGGCGATTTTAATTAGAAGTGGAGAAATGGGAACTTGTGACTTGGGCCATCAGCGAAGTTTGGACATGCTGTCTTGTTGCACAATTAAATAGTGAAGCAAAGACACTTAAAACAGTTTATTTACCATAATATTTAAAAACAAAATATTACTTTTATGCTTAAAACAACATATACTTTTATTTTTATTTATATGTAGAAATAATTATATACTGCTTTTTATCCATGTTGAATAAATTCTCTAAGTTTTAATAAACCGAAGTATACTCAATTATCTTTTGTAGCATATATAAAATAGGAAATCAATTTAAACTGCATCCAAATTTTAACATTAAATCACTTTTTTAATGTATTATATAAATTTATAAAAAATTTATGGTTTAAACCGAAATCAAAATTATAAGAAGATAAAATTCTATACAAATTGTTGATAAGCTTTTACTTAAGTTCTACTTCAGAAAGAGATAAATTGAAATCAAGACATTTATTAAAAAGACACTGTTCTGTTTTTTTGGGAGAACGCTAAATTTGCTTAATAGATGCTCCAAAGTCCCTTTAAAAAGGGCATCTAAAAAGATGTTACTTACCAACTGATGGGTGAAATATGCTATCAGGGGATTTGGTTGGTTAGTTTGGACTCGCGTGGTTCGCATGCCTCATCTCGACAGAAAGCCAAGAGCTAATACGAATAGCAAATAGTGGTAAAAGGCGGTGGACGGAGAAGAATACGGTGTATGCAGTTTTCCCACTTGCCACTTACCACTCGAGAGCCAAATTATAATTTCATGGCTTATAAAAGTCATATTTGTCTTGCGTTTGATGGAATTCCCATGTACGAGCTCGTGTGGCCCAAACAAAACGTAACTAAAAACATTTCTTCACGCTTCTTTGTGTTCCTTTCGGAGTTTGTTTGTCCGTTTGTCAGTTTGTCCGTTTTCTATTTACACGCAGCCGCCGTGTGCTGGGCAAACAAATTTTAACGCTCAAATGCTAAAATCCGAATAGGTATTGGGAATGGAACGAAATGCCCGATTCCCAGCCAGCGGCGATAGAACCGCCAGCATAGGCATCGGCATCGGCATCAGCATCACCTTCGGAACAAAGCG